TGTACAAGAAATGCAAGGCAGAAGTTGAAACTGAACTTTCAGCTGTACAATATTATGCAGCTACAATGGATTTGCGGTCCAGCCAGACAACGGAGCCCTACGTAAGCCTGCACACTGATCTAAGGACTGTTTTAAACCAGGGGCATGAGAGAGATTTTTGAGGTGGGGGTAACCCAACAATGAGCATCTTTCCTTATTCAGCTTATCCAGCCATGCTTGATTTGGCGTAATTTAGGATAATGGTTCAATACAGTAAATCAGGTGTGGCCAATCTTATCCACAAAGGATCAGTGTGTGTGTAGGTTTTTGAGATAACTTTTTAGGTCAGCTGTTCATCCCAGGTGTGAGGACTCTTCAGCCAATCAGTCCTCCAATTAGTAATCTAATAGGCTCTATGCAGTCTCATCATCCGGATTCTTGTATACCGGCAAATCAACTTCCAAAAGCTGGACAACAAGACTCTCTTTTACACTCTTTAATCTTTCGTGTTATCTATCTTTTAACAGTAGTGAAACACTCCTTTGTCAGAGTTAACCCAATACACCCTAAAAAGGTTAATCTGTTAAAGAAAAACTTGTGCAGCATATCTCAGTTTAAAGCACACTTTCGACTTCAATCGAAATGATGTGAACAAAGGCCAGTAGCCTATGGACCAGGATACACATCACAGGGAAAACGGGGTAATTATTTTATAATGTAGACTAAGATCTATAATGAAGTAAATTTATACAATATAAATTACTTAATATATTTTCAAATAGAGACCGTTTAAAGATGTCAATCACGAATAATCAAGGACAGAGCCAAGAAGAGGCATATTGGCCATCTACAGTGAAGACGCCCATCAGCCTATTAAACACGTGTTACTCTAATCAGTGCCATGTTATTATTTAAACAAATTTCTAATAATAGTTATTAAACCGATACAGGCTTTTTACTACTGAAAGCAAGCGTCCTGGCTAATGTCACGTCTGTGCTAATGAATACATTTTTAAATCTAAGTCTGACGCTGAGTTTACAGGTGGGGAAGATGGTGGCGCAGGAGGTAGTGCGCCACCGAGGTCGTTCGGCAACTGGAAGGTTGCAGGTTCAAGCCCCGGGTCCTCCTAACCCCATCAAAGTGTCCTTGAGCAAGACACTGAACCCCAAATTGCTCCTGGTGTGCAGGTTGGCGCCTTGCATGGTAGCCTCCACCACTGGTGTATGACTGTATGGATGGGTGAATGTCAGGCATACATTGTAAAGCACTTTGAGTAGAAAAGCGCTATATAAATGCAGTCCATTTACCATATTTAGAGATACCCTGCCTGAGCTTATAAGACTCATCCCAGGAATTTACAGCTAATAGTTCTCATGCCTTTTGACACAACATGACGGGATAGTGGAACACAGCTGATCAATGGCACTGTTTGAAATACAGAGCCTGAACACGTTTACCATTCAGCTCCAAATAAGTGCATTGGTTCCCTTTTGATAACCTTGCCCAGACACGTAAACCTGTACATTTAATTTTTGTTTTCTCAGTTAAACCTCAATCAATCAATCAATCAATCAATCAATTATTAAAAAATCATTTTTTTGGCCATATTATTTTAAATATACTTTATTGTGCAGTATTTTACTAAGGATAATCAGTGTCACCAACTTTGGTCAGCTGTCTGGTCAGAGATTTTCAATTTCAGACAAGTCTGCACACACATTTACATGTATGTATCAGTATTATTAACTTGTAAATAGTCTGTATGGTTTGCACTTTTGATGTAGCTAATTTTAGCTTTATAATGGAATAATATAGATTTGCCAAATGATTTCTTGCATGAATGTGAGAGTCAGAAAGCATGAGCGTCACGCCAGATGCATTGGAGTTGGCAACCCTGGGATAATAAAAAAAAGTTTTTCTTAAAATGCTTAATCATGAATAAAAGGTGTAACTGCCTTCTTACTCATTTTATTTTAAAAAAACCCTGAAAATTCACAGCTTTTCGGCACAATCTCACCATATCACAGTTTAGTTTTCAGTCTAGCTACTGACCCCACAAAACGGAAGCTAGACTGCCAGTATAATGTCTAACGCAGGGGTCGGCAACCTTTTTAAAGCAAACAGCCATTTCTGAACCAAGTATCTGAAATATCTGAACCAAGATTTACAATGAGCCGCAATGGGTAGAGAAGGGAGTTTGAGATACGATTTTTTAATGTGATATGAGCATATATGCATTTAACACAAAAACAAAAGTTCAAGTACTTACAAAAAATAAAGAAAACCAATTTCGGGGGGCATCTCAGTTTTATATCACTCAGACGCGTAACAGTGCAAAAGTGACTAATATTACAACATTTTTCAGTTCTGTAGCAATAGTCGTCACTCTCACCCCTTCTTTTGTTCAGCTCTGCAGTCGTCTGCCCTTCACTCTCCTCTTCACTAATGCTATGCTGACTTGCAGTGCAAATGTAGTCACAACTCAGCTGGCTCTAATATGTAAATCGGAGGAAATATAATAATTTTTACGAAGACCTGGGAAAGCATGGTGACGATTTACTACAAAAGTAAATGAAAGAATTAAGAATCCCAATAAATGTTGAAGCATACATCCAATCTCAGGTACTAAAGAAAACTCCAGAAAGCATACCATTTGACCGGAGACATTCTCTCGTCGTAGAGAATGACTTTGAAGAAGATGTAAATGATGCCGTTAAAACATCACAGAAGTGTGCGATGGACTGCCTCATTCACATATAGCTAAAGAAATATTTGAATGAAAAATAATATTAACCCATAAATAAGTAATTAATATTTACGCAAGTATTATTATAATTATGTTAAGACATGAAAATGTCAATGCGGCTATCGTTCTGAGAAGAGCTGCAGTCACGTGGTCAAAGAACCGCGTGTGGCTCGCGAGCCGCAGGTTGCCGACTCCTGGTCTAATGGAAATATGTCACATTAGGGTGGTCCACTGTTATATAGTAAAATTTCATGTTGCTTATACTGAATCAGACACATGATGCCCTTATCACAATTGACAATGTAAGTAAACACTGAAAATTTGAAGACAATCAGATAATATTTAGAGGTCGCTCCAAATGTCAGCTTTTGCAAGCAATTACCAGCCACACTGAAACAACACGTAATGTGTCCTATTGTACTATTGCACTATGCAGGCTACCAAGTACACGTAAACTACATTATACATTGCTACAGCAGCTGCAGCACACACTAGCCACTCACAGCCAGTCTATTTATAGCAACGCTGTCACTCGTTGACCTGTCGGCTGCAGCTCTGTCGCGTGCATGCCAGCTATCTCATTATGCGTAACCCATGCTGTGTGTCTGTGCTACGCAACTTCTATTGTCTAGCTTCACTACTATACTTTGCATTGCTGTCTTATATTTCCAGACTTGCTAATTGTTACAGTAAGTAGTATGGTGGCAAAAGCACGGAGTAATTGTTCTGTTTGGCTGATCGGTCATCCTGAAGAAACAATCACTGGTTGTCGACTACCCTCCAAGGGACAAGTGTTGTGACATTTCTTTCATCATCATACGACTCTCCAGAAAACCAAGACTGACTGTGCATATGCAGTTATTGAAGCTGTTATTTCTTTCTGGACTGCAGCACACGTTCCGATCTCTACTGTCTGCTATTGTAAGAAAAAGTTTCTTGCGCTTGTGGAGCAGTACGAAAAGTTATGTGGGATACTGAACGCTGTTGTTTCTGGTACACATGTTATTACTACAGTATAATGTTTAATTTCTGTTGTATCAGTAACAAAATAAATGTTCATCATCAAAATGAAATATCCAGTGCAAAAAAGGCACAAACTGGAGCGACCCCTAAATGATGAGCTAGAAGCCTGAAACTTTGCAGTTTTATTTAGTTTCTGAAGTGGAATTAGGGCAATATGTGTCTGACCTGGTAATTCTAAACTGGCATTTTTGGACCATCCTAATGTCACATACATTGTGTGAATAGAGCCTATTCGGGAGTTGCGGCAAAAACCCGCAAACACAGCAGCTCTTTCTGCATAAGACTGGCCACACCTGGATTAAGTGTTTTGATTGACGCTGGTCATCAATCCACGGGTGTAAACCTGTACCGGACACTGATCTAAGGCCTGCTATAAAGCCCACATAGGGTCTAAACCTGTACCGGACACTGACCTAAGGCCTGCTATAAAGCCCACATAGGGTCTAAACCTGTACCGGACACTGACCTAAGGCCTGCTATAAAGCC